CTTTTCTTTTATTTTTGATTTTATTGATTTTGGTTTTGTTTGTTTACCGATAAATAAACTGGTGCCTTGAATAATAATCGTGAAAAACCTTCTACTACTTAAAAATTTGCAGATTAATAAAGAACTGCTCGTAACAATATCAAATAGTAGTTCAAAAATTTTAGGATTGATTTCTAGTAGAATAAAGTTTACAGGATTATGACTTTCTTGCGAATCATTTGAAGATTCATTTGAAGAATTATTTGAAGAATTATTTGAAGAACTACTTAGAGAAGAATAATTATCTTCTCTAATTATTATTATATCATCTTTATCGGATAAGTTATAAATGTCAAATGTATCCTTTTTTTCTATAGTTGGTTCAATAATCATCTCTTCATCATTATCTATAGGTGCTTTAAATTTTCCTTTTACTAATCTTCTTGAGGTAGGTATTTGTATATCAAAGTCATCTTCAAGAAATAAATCTATTGTATTAGTACCAGATACCAAATTATCTTCATTTGTATCACTAGTTGTACTTTCATCTTCGCTTTTCAATCCTTTACTTTGATTGCTTTCAGAATTATTTTCTTCAAAATTATTTTCTTCAGAATCATTTTCTTTGAAATCACTGTTTTCAGAATCACTGTTTTCAAAATCACTATTTTCAAAATCATTGTTTTCAGAATCATTGTTTTTGGAATCATTGTCTTTAGAATCATTGTTTTCAGAATCATTGTTTTTAGAATTATTGTCTTCAGAACTATTGTCTTTGGAATCACTATCTTTGAAACTTTTGCTCAGAAATTCAGAAAGAGGTTCTTCATATTTTAAAGCCAATATTTTGATATTTGTACTTGATGTACCAATATCGGGTAAAGCTATATGATCTTGTTTTGTTTGAAGATTAACATATTTTTTCCCTTTACATTTATCATAATAATATAATACTCGTTTAGACGATGATATTTTGATTGTATTATTATTTCTTTATTAATGTTTTTTAAAGGTTTTAGTAAGAAAATACATAGTATGAATAGTTGTCTTAAATATATTTTTCACAAATATCTTAAACAAAATAAAGCTTTAGGCTATACTGTAAAATCGATCACAGATTATTCAATAATCAGAGTTAAATCAGAGTTAAAAAAAATTTAACAAGACTCTAGATTATACTGTAGTTTCGATTACTGATTAATTCAATGATCAGAGTTCAAATTTCTAATAATATTTAAAAGACATGTAAATAATGACGAAAAACAACTTCTCTTTAGAATGTGTTAAATTACTTCTCTTTAGAACACGTAAATTTCTTTCTCCTTGCAAATATAAAATACAAAAAACATACAAATATCTTTTAGAAAATATAAATATTTTCCTAATATAGTAATATTATGAGTATAAGAGTTCTTCGAAGTTATATGCAGAATTCTTTAAAGATTCTGTCTATATTATTCACTAAAATATCTTTTAAGGCAAAGCATAA